CCTATCTCTGCTCAGAGAAATTACCCAGACACAGAATAATTAAACACTGATGCACAAAAAGCATCCTCCAAAACCAACTGAACCTAATAAGAAATTCTCCACTGATTTTAATCACCATAGTTTGGGTACAAAATGCCTGAAAACATGACCAGCAATTAGACAGTCTCACCTTTAGCTTCACCTACATATTCAAAAAGGTAGTCTAATGGTAGAAAATGTTAAAGAGCTATGAGGAGCTGTGTACTCTATACAACACCATCCTGATGCATTACACAATAATATAAAATGTTTTCACAGTGAGTGAAGATCAAGTGCATTTTTATCCAAATAGAATATAAAAAGTTATCATTTTAGTTGTTCAAGCCAAAGGCAGCCCTGCGATCTAGCAGGTAACATTGTTCAAACATAGGAATTGTGGTCAGGATCTCAAAAATCCACTAAAACATTTAGCAGAAATTAAAGAGAACAGATTTTTCTATTTTTGTCACATAAATTAACACATTAATTCAATATTAGAAGTTATTTGCAATATTGGCCAAAGATTTCAAAATATTTCTAAATGCTCAAAAGCTCCTGGCAACAGATATGAATAGTATTTAATCAAACCATATGAAATAGAAAATAAATGACTACGTAAAACAGTACTGTGAGAAACTATAGACTAAACATACAAACATTTCTGGTATAAACAATTATTAAGAATACCAGCCAGCCTACTAATATTTTCTGAAGAGAAAATACTGCCAACAGAGAATAGGAACATCCCACAACACTGTCATTTGAAAAATAATGTATGTATCTAGCCCAGTATGATACAGCAAGACAGTGTTACTTTAAATGTTTGGTATGGCTTGTCAGAAAAAAATAAGAAAAATTTTCTAACTATAGATTGCTTCACTGTAGGCATGGGATACTTGTCACAATTTGGCTTCTCTTATGGGTCGAGCAAATAAAACTGTCCAATATTGCCGTAAAGTCTGATGGCAGACTGGATCCTGCGCTAGCCCTACCTGCGACGTGACGGAGTCTGCATCCCCCGTGTCCTCACCACCCTCCTCCCACAACCTCCCATGCTCAGCCCTGATTTTCTCAGCTCCCCTCCAGTATGCAAATAGCTGCTGCTTTAGACTAGTAGGTAATTTTTTTAATAAAAGAAATTAGGTTCACCCTAACTAGGAAGCGGGATTTGCAGTCTTAAGAAAGACTGCAAGAGCTGGGCCTGTTCAGCCTGGAGAAGAGAAGATTGAGAGGGGATCTCATCAACGTGTACAAGTATCTGAAGGGGGAACGTCAAGAGGATGAGGCCAGCCTCTTCTCCGTGGTGCCCAGCAACAGGACAAGAGGCAATGGGCAGAAACTGAACCACAGGAAGTTCCACCTGAACCTGAGGAAAAACTTCTTCACTGTGAGGCTGACAGAGCATTGGAACAGGTTGCCCACAGAGGTAGTGGAGTCTCCTTCCCTGGAGATATTCAAAAGCCGTCTGGATGTGATCCTGGGCAATATGCTCTAGGTGACCCTGCTTGAGCAGGGAGGGTGGACTAGATGATCTCCAGAGGTCCCTTCCAACCTCAACGATTCTGTGATTCTGTGATATCCCCTAAATTAACACTCTATCGTATGTGTTAACTCCTGCCCATCCATTGCACTGTGCATTTTGTTTGTTTGCCTACAGAGAAAACTGCTCTATGGCAAAAAAGGAGCCCAGAAAAGCAGGGATCTCCTGTTTTTGTCGCAGCTGATGCAAAACTGGCTTTCTGTCAACTTTCTTCCTTGTCCTTTTAGTTTATTTCAGAATGCAGCTGTGCCTTTTATCTATCAGTTTTCAGAGCATTTGCACAAGCAAATCTTTTATTTCCAATTCATCTCGGTAATATATAGCAAAGCCTTCTGCCACAGCAAAGAGCTGACAACAAACGTTAACTATGAATAATGCTTCCCTTCGTTACAGAAATCAAATTTCCCCACTTTAAAAATTATACAGAGGGAAAAAATCACACTCAATTGCCTTAACAAATACAGCGCTATTGAGAAGAAAAGTTACTACGCTTCAGTAGGAATCTTCTAAATATTTGCCAAACTTGAAAAGACAAAATTTGCCTGGCAAACCCCATCTGCTGTTTGGTAAACACCAAAAACACTTCATAAACACAAGTATCACAGAAGTAAAGAGCAAATAAAAAGAGAGAGATCACTTCTATTAATAATGGTGTCAAACAATCCTGCCCAATCCTGCTGCCACTGAAGTGAACGACAAATCACTTACCACCTTAAGTAGGATTAGAATTAGATCAGAAACATGGAAATATTCTGCATGATCAGAACTCTCTTGTGGAAATCTGATGACTCAGTCCTAGCACACACACATCACCCATTGACTCTGGCAAGCACCTTCTGTGCGCAAAAACTACGCAATTTATTTCAGCATTTATAACTGTAAATTATGTAACCAGAATCTGTGATGATGAATGCGAAATCTAGTTAGATACTTACATAGTACAAGTGTGAATTGCTCGATGTTGCATGGGTCTGCCATTGTCATAAAAGAATACAATGATAACGGATTATATCCATGTTGAAAGGAACTACTCATACTCCAGTCTCACTCACTGGGAAGAGATTGCTTTATTCCCTTCTAAAAGGGACTGATATTTAAGAGGTGGTCCAGATGATAACATATATATACTGTAGCATATAGTCTATCAGATGATAAAGACTTCAAAGACTCCAAAAAATCTGGTCTCCTGAACAGGTCGCATTTTTAAATGCAGATATAGGTCTCGGTAGCTGACTAGAATTTATTTTTGCTTTTCTAAAAAGTAAATACAATTCAGAACAGAGGAAATAATAAGTTCATACAAAAAAGTACATGTTCTACTGAAACTAAAAATATTGCATGACAAATATCTTTCCTTCAAAAAAATAAGTGTTTTGCCTTTAGGTAAATGCATACAGGAAGCAGTGAAAATGTCACTATATCATATAGGCGAAATGCCTACACATGATATTTTGATAAATATATACTTGGGGAAAAGGGTGCCCTTTTTAAAAAATGAGCTAAGTAATATGCAAATCAGTATTAGCAAGGTTTCAAAAATAGTCTAATGTCACCATAATAAATCTCACTTAAAATGAGGACATACCACCCCATTTATAACAACCCCAATACCCCTGGATATCATTTGATTGGTAAGGACTCCTGTCACGGAAAACATTTATATAACGTCAGTCCAAATACAAAAATATATATCTTGCTTTTGCTATCTGCTGTTTTTAGTATGGAATGTGCATTTTTATTTTTCCTTTTCTTTACTGTTTCCTTTTAAAAATACCATTTAAGTGTAGGTCAATCGATAGTAATTCCCACAGAAAAACTATTTTTTTTGTAAATAGTACCAAGAAATAATACCAAATTGGACATGCCTTCAACATTCTGATAATGCAAATTTCTAAATTGTGCTGTGAACAAACAAATACAATTAACATCTGTATATATCATACAGTGAGATAGTTCTACTGAGACTGCAATGAATAAATGCTTAATAAATTAGATTACTTCCAGATAAGAAAAATACGATTACATCATCACTAACCAGGGATCTCTCATATTTTGTTTATATGCCACTTTATTAAATATTACATTATAGATTTTGTCAGCTGTTTACCAGTATCCATCTCCCTTTATATTTTACACGCTTGCTTTTTTCCAAAAAAATCCTTCTCACTACAATTTCTTTAAACAGTTGAAAAAATAACTCTTAACAGAACTAACACAACTGCATTGCTACCAATGAAAATACTTTGCACTTTTGGAAATTTAATGTGAAAAGAGTTATGAAAATATTCAATCACTTACTTTGGTAGAGTTTTCAAGTGATTTTCTCTTAACTCCAGAATTCTCAATTTGACAAGTCTAGAAATAGTGATATTAAAGAAAATAATTAGTGCAATCAAAGAATTAGTTCAAGAATCCATAAGAATGATCTGAAACTACTTATTTCAACAAAAAAAGAGACTGCTTAATGCACAATAATGAGATGCCCAGATGTTGCTGGTCTGAATATAATACAAAATCTATTCAGAACCAAATGGATTCACATTTGCATTATATTGTTTATGCACCCTTCTCTGGATTCCTCTGAAGATCAATGATCCATATCAGTTTTTCAAAATAATTCTAAATTATTTTTCTTGGCTATTCAAGCAAGGCAAACATCGTAAGTTGATTTATCTCAAACATTTCCAGAGCTATTAAAGGGTAAAAAGCAACTGTTGTACAGTTCATAACTTCTTTTAGCACTTTTTGAGTCTTAACTTCTGCAGCTCCACACAGGCAGACCAACGCTAAAGAACAGATCTCCATCCAATTTCATGTATTTTAAGCAGAAGTTGAACATATGTTCACATGCTTGCATGAACTAGAATCTGTATACAACAGTACCTCACATTTCAATATCATTGTGCAAAAACTAATTGGCAATATTATTTAAGTCACAACAATAAACATCAGGAAGTGGAAGAATGGCAAGGAAGGAGGACACACACATAGGCTAGCGAGCAACAAATGCAATGTCTGTATGCTAATGCTGGAAACCTGTGAAACACGACGAGGATTTGTATTTGTAAGATACCAAATAGATCTAGAAGCAGTACAATTACACTGGAATAGCAACCACAACTGGAACTAGTGTCATTTCATTTGGATAAAATCTGTGTCTGTAGAAGAGAAAAAAATTGGCGCTTTCTGCTAAAAGATCTAAAATACTAGAAATGCAATTTCGAGAAGCTGATTACCAGCAAGGCTTTAGAAGTGCATAATAATTACAACACTTCCCATGAACAGAAACATTACATATCAAATAAATTGCAGGGGTATGCCATATATTAATTTTCCCTTGGCATCTGAGCATAATGTCTGATTCCTAAGTGCAAAAGCAGTCTGTCTTGGGATTTATTCTGGTATTCCAAAGCCTCATCAAATGCAAACAATTTAACTTTTTCTTCTTGTTTCTTCAACCAGAAGTTTTCTTAGAATAAACTCCAGTGTAAAGCCCAAACTCAGCTCTGGGTCAGTGACAGAGCTGTTAAATAAATGCTGATAAAGCAGCACTTCATATATCGCAATGTCTGAGCACACCAATGCCATTTCCAACCCAAGTTATCTCACCTCAGTATTCATTCTGGAGTGCTGCAATGATGCTCCCAGCTGAATGATTTAACACCCATTTAGGTAGCTGGATGGACCAGGAAAAAACTAATCCTAGGCAAATTCTGTATTGGTCCTATATATTTTTTCTTTAATTCTTTGTCTTCTGAGCTATTTGCCCAACTGGACAATCAGAGGGCGGAAAGGCTGCCCATTCCCTTGCCAGTGTTATGGAGGTAGAATGAACTTGCCATTTTTGCTAAACGCATGCATAGCTCCTACTGCTCTCTTAAAAGGTCAAGGCAAATTGTGCTAATTCTGGAGGGTGTTTTTCCCCTCTGGTTTATACTTATCTAACACTTTTTGGCTCAGTTTCCACTATATTTATTTTTAATCTCATTCTACATCCATCTGCTGTAATGTCTTTTGAAAATCTTCTCTCTTGTTTGTGCTTTCTTATTTTTGCTTTGGTTACTCCACTATACACAGTCATTTTTTATCTTCCTTTCTGACTCACAATGCTTTTTTTTTCTGTTCATTTTTCAATAGACAAAGACCATATTGTTATTTTCTGCCCTTGCCACAATTTAATAACACATTTGATCAAGGACAAGTCTCTTCTTTAATTTCTATTTCTTCCCACCTTTTCCCTAAACCACCAAACTGCATCACTTCATCATAAAATTCTTGCTGACATAAAATTCTCTCTAAAAACAATCATTCATCAAAATAGGGCTGAAGAGGCAAAATCCACACCTTCTTGTATTTTTTTTAATGAATACAGCTTTTAAACAGCCTTTTAAAACTAAACTGGGTGCATACGAAATAGTAATGTTTTTTCATGACTAATTCTTACCTTCCAAAGTTAGCTGGAAGAAACTCCAGGAAGGCATCATTTAGATAGAGCTGGGTCAAGTTTACAAGTTGTGTGAAGCCATCTGGTAGCCTAAAAAATAGTTAAAAGCTTAATCCTGGCACTGAAGTTGCTATGGAATTAATAACAATGCATATTTATAAAGAGAAAGATGACTCTCTCTCTCACCTTCTTTTTGTACCCAGCTACTCAAGAAGAATTTACTTAAAGGCAACATTTTTGCCTGTTCTCATCTTTTCCACATTGCCATCATCTGACAAAATTCAGACTCCTGGTACATTCAAGCTACATCAGCCTTTTCCCCCCTCCAAGGTGAGGCTTTTCAGCAAAGTTGTTTTTGTTTTGTTTTATTCGGGTTTTTTTTTTTAACTGAAGTAGGAAAGTTTCACACTTTCATCCCTTTCACTCCATTTTGTAAATCACAGGATTACAACACAGATTTTTTGTGACTATTATTCCAAGTTTTTGGCAGGAATAATGATTGTCAAGATCCTAACCAAGAGATTAGGATAAATGAGGACACGGCATGGCTCACTTCCCAAATATGTCCCCCTGTACATAAAGCACCAGCCTCCGTGTTTAAAAGTCTGCATTATATGGACTGCTTTGCCAAAGTTGCCTTTACTGTGTGGAGAGACACTACATCTGTTGTGTAGTAAGAGATCTTTTTATAGATACATCAACCTAGATAAATGTCATCCTTATTACTTTAGGATTTCAAACAACTAAAAATTAATTTGGATTGACCCTGCAAATAAACGGTACTTGTACTTTTAAATTTTCGTTTACTTTGCACAAATTTTCTGAACTTGCAATATACAAGCACAAGCTATTGATACTCACTTAGAGACTGGGTTGACACTGGCTTCAATAATTGTTAAACACTTGCAACATTTAATATTTTCTGGAAAATCTTGAATTCCTAAAAAAATATTGAAAGAAGCATTATACAAACATGAAAAACTGTTCAACTGTTTTGTTCATAAATGAGTTCACTTGGTATATTTCATTGCTAATGCAGGATGCGACTATAAATTCTGACCAGACTTAGCAATAAAATTATAAATATATATATTTGCAATATTACAGTTTTACAGATGATATTTAAGCAACAAATAAATATACCACAACAGATAATATGACCTGCAATAAAAAATCCTGTGTTAATGCTTTATTTATATGATCTTCTGGAGTTATAGACTGACATCACTTGTACTAACTAGCACTTCTGCCTCTTTTTGAACTGCCCATCTTTTCCTTCTTTGTTTCTCATTCTTCTCTGGAATTGATACATATAATCCTGAAAGTCTCTAGGCTTATACTGATAATAAAATTTTCCAGAAATGGTTCAATTTCAAAAGAAGGGCACTTGATGGCAGACATGCAAGGGTTTTTAGGCACATAAGTATGTAAATATGTACGTTGGCAAAGCGCATCAGCAAGTTAGTCACTGCCAATGTCAATACTGGTAGCTGTTTACCTGCAGCCTTTTGTGCTTAGATAGGTTAATAAATCTTGACCCAAAAGAGTCCCGTAAGTAGTAAGCCACTCTGGAAAGTCGAATGCTTCATAAAAGTACACCGAAAAATGCTATCCCACTCCTATTTCTAATGGGTATCAGTGACAGTTCATCACGGTATACTATCCTAGAGGGACCAGCATTTTTTTTAGAAAAACTTACATATGGTAGGTATCTATCTGGACTTTTCAAAGTGCCAGACAGGAAAATATTGCATAAACTAGAAGAATATAGACTTTCCTAGAACAGTAGTTAGTTAATCATTAGGAATTAAAACTTCATTATTGTTGTTTACATATTCATTACAATTCTTTAAAATATTTATACTTACTGTATACTTTTGATCTCTTACCATTTTTACTGATATCAAGTTCTCTGAGATTAACTAAACTAGCAATAGTGGTTGGCAGACTTGAAAGGTCATTGTCAGGTATACTCAGTTTGCGTAAAGCTTGACAGTTGAACAATTGCTGCAATATAAAGAAATACTTCATAGCATTTCAGGAAAAAGTCTCTTTCATTATTTATGCTCAAAAGCAATAAATAACATAAAACTACCTTTGTTACATAAAAATTGAACAATCCAAAAATATTTTTAAATGACATTATTTGAGAAGATGTTCTTAAAGGTTGCACAATATTTTAAACAAGTACAATGTTGTCTACAAGAATCACCAGCACGGTTGATCAGTGACAGAACAGTCCAAAGACTGTGGAGTTTTCTGTCAAAAATTGCATACCTATTGCAATCAACATTTTGTAGGAACAAGCTATTTCCTAAAATGTGCCATATAAAAAGAATTTGTTGTGGTTTGTTGTACGTTAAAATATTTGATTATATAATTTAATATAATTGTAATTAGATTTTAAAATCTTTTGACTGTGTGCAGAGAGAATTTGCTACTTTCAAGAAACAAAATATTTTGACATTATCAAAATGAGACATTCTGTAAATCTTCCCAAAATTCAGGACTTTCAATTCCAGTATTTAATTCTAACTCAAATTTTCTGAAATGTCAGTATTTCCAGTCCAGCAACAAATCCTCTTTTCAGCCTAAAGTAATCAATACATTGTGCTGAAAGCATCTATTTAATATTGCTGCCTTCCTCAAAAAAAATCACCATCTCATAAAACACCTTAAACATGCAACAATAATATAACTATGCTAGAGAAAGCAGTCATGAAAGACTATTTAGCATTTAAGTATATTGCATTGCCAGGTTAGAGCTGCTATATATGAAGGACGAGTAAGGTATGTTTTTTAGATGTTTGAGGTTACAGCTTCATCAAACCCAGTGTGCTGGCAGGTGTAAGAGGAGAACGCGGTATAGTTGCTTGGCTTCTTTACTGCCGAGAGACGCTATGTAAGGAGTGCCCGGGGAGTGCTCCCCACTCCCCAGTGACAGCACCGTGGAAAACCGAGCGCGCCACAGGTTAGCGTCACACTTGCCTACCCGCTTTGCGCTCCAAGCCACGGCTTGCACACCCGCACGGCGTCCTCACAGCCGGCCAAGCGCTGGGACCAGCCAGCCTGAGCCACTCGCATACTGCTCGGCAGGGAGCATGGGCTTAAGGTTGCTCACTAACATTGTGGCTGCAGGCTCTAAAAATACCCTGTTTTAAAAAGTGGGTTAAATGTTACTAACCCTCCCAGGTCTTGCTGAGAACATGAATTCACCTGATGGCCCTAGACAAGTCAGTGGCTTCCAGAGAAGAATGATTTCCCTTTGCAGGCATCCCAAAGGTGTTCTTCACATATTAGTGCTATGTTTATAGCAGATTTTACCTTTCTTTCATTCAGACCGCTACAGTAGAATAAAGTCTATATACTCATTGACAGGACAGTTGATAAAGCATAATAATTTGATTGCCCAGCCAAAAAAAAGAAATAATTCAGCTAAGTATCTGGAGAAGAGAAAATTAACACACAAATGGTGTGCAAATGCCAACTCAGTACTTCAGTCTTAATAAACTTTAGGTCAGTTTGAAACTGCATCTTTCTCTTGTAACCTTAATCCTTAAAAAACAAAAACACTCCCAAATCCTCTTTTTCCTCACGATGACCTATTCTCAGATAACTTACGTGATACTCATCCTTGATATTAAGGGGAATTACAAGAATAAAAAATACTCAGAATGAGAAGACCACCACAATTGGCACCAAATATGAAAGGGTCTTTTTACCAAAAGACACTTCTCAACACTTTCTACTTGTTCATTTTCAAGACTGCACAACAGCCCCCTCCCCAGAGGTCACCAGCTAATGCCAACGGCACTATCATTGCGGTTGCCGACGCAACACGATGGCCCAGCGGCCCTGGAGAAATATGAGAGAGAGGAATTTCTTCCCTGGGGTCTGCTGTTCCCAGTCTCACGTACAGGAATACCCAGACCAAGTACCATGCACCCCTGAGAAGCCAAACTGGGCTACACATTTCTGTTTGGAAGACAATGCTAACTAAGAGAAATCACTCTCTAGAGAAGGAGAAATTCCTGTGTGATGCATCTGAAAGCCCCCTCTTCCCCCCCCTTTTTTTTTTTTTAAATAGGAAGCACAGCATTTTGGATAGCCTGAAAAGCAACGTGATGGATCCGCTCCAGGGTCTGCGCTTCAAAATTCTAGCTGCTTTGCTGTTTTACAGCAGCTGTAAAGCCCTGTAATGCTCATCTCAGGGGACTCGCCGATTTTGGTAGATATACAGAGTCTATAGCACTATTATACCAGGAATATAAAATTCCCAGTGCATGTACCTAGCCGTTCTTTCAGAGAATTACCTTAAAAGCCAAGGAAGCCTTGGAACTTAAAAGTTTTGACAGTCTCTAAACAGCTACAAGGCTTCAGAACTGGTGAATAAAGAAAGGTAATAAAAAATAATTTTATTTTTGAAAAAATATTCCCTCTAGAGTAATTTTATGATGTACTATTTTATCAGCAATAAAACAAGAGTGGGAATACAGTTATATATGCTCAAAATTTCTCATATTTTTTTAGCCTGTGGATTTTCAAAGGTATCTTTCTCAATTTCTAGTGCTTTATGGCCTTGCCATCAGGATCTTCATGTAATCAACATATTGTATATTCATATACTATTTTTATTCCCTTTAGATTGGAGACCAAGTGGAGCTAATGATGCTGAGATTTGAGTTATAACATTGGTCTATTATTATGCACATCTCAAGTGCATGGCCGCATACCGATAGAGGCTGATGGCTTTCAGGGCCATTAGAGAACAACATAAAACTTCTGTTCTTTACTTTCAGTAGATGTAACTGTGAAATAGACTGGCTATCGCAATGGAGGGACTTAACGTCAGGATTACAAACAAGTAACACTTCCCAGTTCTGCGGAACAGAAACATCATTTCTTACTGGCAGGTTTAGAAACCAGCCAATTCATTTGATGGAAATTGTAACTCCAATAGCAAATGCAATGCAAAAGAACAATACGGTTAATTTATAATACCTACGGATTTATGTAAGTGAGCTATACATTAGTGATTACCTCAAGACCATTTACACGCTGGTTGCTTTGCTTGTTTTTAGCAAGACAATTAAGCACTAGGTTGCAGTCTCTAATTTCATTGGCATATTTAGCATTACTGATACCTATTTTCCCTACTCACCAAATGGTGAAAGACAGTGGTGGCTATTTCTAGAATTTATCATTAGAGAGAGACGGATTTTTCCCAAGACATTAACAAGTAAATTAATTTTGTCCATCACATTAGTGCAGATTTTACTTAATACTTATAAGGGAAAGTTGCTGGGAAGAACTTTCATTTCATTCATGTTTTTCTGGTCACTGCTTGCCAATGACTCCACCACACCAAAATTGATATTCTTTTTTTTTTATTAATCATTGACACTCATTGGACTCCTACATATAGGGACGTACTTGCAGCAGGAGCTCATGATAATGAAGTCAAAAGACAATAAAATAAAAGCCTTGGCTGCGTTTAAGTGAAAATATACAATTATACCACAATCCTGTACCTCTAGAAAAAGAAAAGGCAATGAATGAGAAGTTAGGACCTAGGAATACTGTTCCAATGAGACAGCAGAAAAAAAACATAAATTATAAGACACAAAATGTAAGGTAAAAATTCAAAAGAGCGACAGGTAGAATTAGTTTAATATATCAGAAATATCAAGCCTGCAAAATAATTTATTGATTTCAACAGTATCAGGTAGCAATGAACACTAGCAATGAATATTGTAAGAATACTGTGAGTAATTTCAGAGATAACATGAAGAAATTTTCTCTGGAAGAGATTATTTGAACTCATATTTGCATACAGAGAAAAGCTTTGCTTAAGGTAGATTGCTATGTGTAATAGAAAGATAATGTTAGGTACTGTAATGCCATTTTAATAAAAGATGGCCTTCTCCCACCTAGAATATTAATTAAATAGCAGAAAAAAGAAAAGTCTGGCAATGGGTAACAAAAAACTATTTGAAGCAGGAAATCTGAGAACGAAATCATTTGCACTTCTGCGCTTAAGGTAATGATTTATAAAGAAGAATAGGCTTAAGATATTAAAAAATTATAAATTGTATAAAGGAGACAAATTTAACTCTTCCATTCATCTTCTCTTATACAACAAAACCATGTAAAATGACATATTTACATAAACTCAATACTGATTTAAAGGATTTTTTTCCATAGATAGCATTAGCTTCAAAATATTATTTATAAACAAAGGAAAGTGAGAAAACTGTAAAAAGTCTTATTCAATTTACTTAAATCTCTCCAAAACATGTTATTTGTTGTTGTGTTTCACAAGTAACATACACAAAACACACGATATCACAACACAATGCAAAGATTTCATTAGCATTCACATTTCAGCTGTGACTTTGACAGTGATAACTATCACTTTCATCCCAATTTCATGATGTTGGTCCCTTCACCTTGCACCCTCCATTTTTCATACATAATTATGATATATTGCTCTTGTCCTAAGTCCTAATATATTTGTCTTACATTATGCACTGCAATTAACTCTAAATATCACAGTGATACGTATTTTCAAGAGATCTGAAATAAATATACCAAAAATTCCAAGCTAAATTGGAGACTTATATTCTCCTGTAACACTCTTCAGTAGCATAATAAAAATATGCTAGGTTAACCACGTATTAAGATTAAAAGTGAAATAGTCCTGAAGGCATTCATTAGCAGTGAAAGGACCTCCACCACACTGCTTTTCATATTGATGGGTGCAGAAAAAATATTTGATGCTCTTCTGTCTTTTCAGCTACTAGGAGAGATGCATCACTTCTGTATATCATTTTCTTTGACACCTGAAGACCTGACAACTACACTGTCTTCTCAGCTACAAAAAAATTTTTGATGGGGTGAGAAATCTTCAGCAATGAACCATCAGCTCTGACTACAGGAACTCCACGTAAGGAAGAAAGTGCATTTTCTATATTTGTAAATAGAATTTGTCTAAAATCTCTGTGCAATGTATATAAGTACTATGTTGGGAGATGAAGAAGAATGGATTACATTGGAACAAAGTTTAATTAAAAGACTTGTAAGCATCTTTCATTATCGTTAAGAAAAATTCAATTAAGGAATGGATTATATCATGCTTCATTATGTAGCTAGCACCTACTATTAATTGTTTCTTCCTCTACCTTGCTGTCTTTTGATCTCAGAGCATTTTAGTTACAGAAATTTTTAATTTCTTACAGTAACATTAAACACTGGAAAGACCAACTTTAAAGATTCTATACAAGGGAGCTTTACAGAGGAAGCATAACTAAAGCAATCTCATTGCAGGACCTCAGGAACATGTCAAAATGTTTACAGTTATACGAACATTAGTCTAAGTACTACCGGCATTTCTCCAACAGGGATACACCGTTTACACTGACAGAGTTTGCTTTCAAAAGCAGCGCTACAGGTGATCCACATTTGAGATAATCTGCCCCATATATTAGTGTCCTCTGCATCTCTCAAGGCACCAAATGTTATTAACTACTTCCTGTGTGAAGGGCACTTCCTTTAAACAAGGACCTTATTGACTCTCCTCTTTTCTTGTGTTATGAAACAAGGAGAAGTAGATGGCCCTACTCCCCCCTATGCAGCACCATCTGTAAGAACAGTGTCTCAGCTGTTTGAGTTCTTCAGAGACTGCAGAAAAAATTAGCAGAAACGTATCAAAATCTCTACAGCTAATAGCCACAATTCTGACTGGCCATGGCAAGTAGGCCACCCATGCAAGAGTAAGTCCCATTTCATAGTTAAAGAACACACTGGTTACACATTTAAGAACATAACTTTGACTTCTGTATTACTGAAAGAACAGTAATTACCTTAGGTAGCTCTTCAATTTGATTGGCATCTAGATAAAGCTCCTCTAGTGTCCGTTCAAAATTAAAAACCTCCTTTGGCACCTGCTGTAGGCCACAGTGAGAGTAATCTAACACTGAGACGATTTCTTCTTCACCACGAAAGCACCGGCATGGCACCAGGCGGCCAATAATTTTCCTTTTAGTTGTCATCTCCAAACAGCGCACTGAAGGAAAAGTGGGAAAAAAAGGGTTTCTGAAACTATCAACATGTTTGGAAGTATTCATTTAGAATTACTATTAAGACTGTGGTTCAGTCAACATAGTCTTTCTGAGGGATATCTGTAATTTGCATTCTGCACGTCCTAATCAATTCTTCTACAAAACGAGACAAAGTGAAGTCTACCAGTATAATCCCAAAAAGCAATTGCAATATATTGTCTGTTCCGCTATCCTGGGATAGATACACAATTGTTGCTTTCCTTAATTTTGAAAATCAGCTCCATAAACCCTACACATTTGAACATTATCAGACAAAGGACAAAATGACAACTTTTGTACTTCATGTTTTGATCCGTTAGAGAGTTTGGACTGTGAGACAAGGAAGTGCATCAGTCAGTGGTAGTCATTTAAGGTGTGATGCTCCCTGACAAATGTACAGCTACATTACACACATTTCTCTGAAATCAACAGAGTTCCTTAGCTTCCTACGGTTATTGCTAGGATATATTTGTTGCCTTTTGACCAGATAAGCACAGAAAATATAAAACTAGCTGGTTACAAAACTAGAATGAAAGAAACTCAAAACTGGACAGTTTACC